GTGGGGCACCGTCTCGCCCAGCAGCCGGGAGGAACCCTGACCACTGGCCACTTCCCCACAAGCGCGTTGTCGAATGCTCAGCAAAGGTCCCTGGCGGACGAGAGCCAGAATGTGCCGTCTCGGTCTCCTTCCCTGCCCACCGAGTGCGCACAGCTAGTGTCGCCTGTTCCTGGCAACAGGAGCGCTTGTCTTCTGGCTAGAGGGAACGGGTTTGGAGCCAGGGTCCCTGGGTGCTAGGCCAGCTCTGTTTCCCTGCGCCATCAGTACAGGTAGCAAAGAGGGATGGAGGGATGTTCATGGTGAATTTTAAAGTCCCGTATGTAGGTGTTCGTGGCTGCCAAACGTCAGCCTGTCCCGTTGGATGTGTTTGCCGGCTCTCATCCAGTCAGGGAGGGGAAATTATACCAGGTAGCTTCTCTGACCAGTCACAACTCAGCATCACAGCTCAGACCATGCAGAACTGTTTGTGATCAACCCAGAGCGTAGAGCATTCAAAGTCACTCGACTAACCGCAGCTGCCGCGTACACCCGTCTAGGCGCCGTCTCCACCGACACGGCAGCCGTGGGACTCAGATACGGTGTCGCTTGGGAGTTACTCTGGTGGCTCTGGCAAGGGGCACAGCTCCTGGGTCCTGTGGGGGTGAGGTGCTAGAGGGATCCAAGCCTCATTGCACTAGGCCTCACAGCCTCGCTTTCCATCCTCCATTGACCCGATCTGCAGGCGACATGGGAAAGCGCCATCAAACCAATTCATCTTTTCTGTATGTTTTGTTTCCTCCAACCCAACCCTACTGCACCTCCCCACACCAGGCCAATCATTCCTCCAAGATGGCCCCACGGTTGCCTAGCAACCCTCTAGCTGTTGAGAGACCCAACCCAAAACCCTCTCTCCTAAATAAACCGGAACTGTAAGTGCCTCACTCACGTTGTCACCGTGCTCGGCGGCGGCGCCGTGCGGCCGGTTGTAACCTCGTTGCATGACTTGACGTTGAGTTCGCTACGTCTCTACTTCTGTATCTTTCCCTCTCCTGCGCTGGTGCTGTTCTTTGGGCGATTGTGAAGCCCCTGGTGGAGAGTTTTTGGAGTGCTGCTTGGTTAGTCGTGAGTAGCTGTGACCCTTGGCGTCTCTGCCCTCTCTTCTTTTCTCTGTTGTAACGTACGAATCTGTGTTGGTGTTTCTCCCGCATTCGCCGCGCGGCCGTGGGAGCTGGGAAAGGGTGGGACTGGTGCTGAGTCACCCTTACTTACTTACCCAATACAGACTCAAGGCCATGGTGGTGCATGCAGGAAAGCCCTTTTGCAAATCGCCTGTCTGCTAATCCTTCAGCGGGGTGGTTGGCTTGCTCTGAGTTAACATAAGAACGGCCCTACTGGGTCAGACCAAAGATCCATCCAGCCCAGTATCCTGTCTGCCGACAGTGGCCAGCACCAGGTGCCCCAGACGGAGGGATCACAACAGGTAAACCCTATGTGATCTTCCAATATCCTGTCTGTCTACAGTGGACAATATCAGGTGCCCCAGAGGGAGGGAATACAACAAGTAATCCTCACATGATCCCTCCCCGGTCAGCCACCTACAGGAAAACAGAGGCTAGGGATACCATTCCTATCCATCCTGCTAATAGATATTGATGGATCTAACCTCCATGAATCTATCTAGCTCTAGTTTGAACCCTGTTAAAGTTCTTGCCTTCACCGCTTCCTCTGGCAGGGAGTTCCACAGGTTGACTGTGTACTGAGCGAAGAAAAACTTCCTTTTGTTTGTTTTAAACCTGCTGCCTGTTCATTTTATTTGGTGACCCCTAGTTCTTATATTGTGGGAACAAGTAAATAACTTTTCCTTATTCACTTTTTCCACACCAGTTGTAATTTTATAGACCTCTATCATACCCCCCCTTAGCTGTCTCTTTTCTAAGTTGAAAAGTCCAAGTCTTTTTAATCTCTCTCTTTCATATGGGACCTGTTCCAAACCCTGAATCATTTCTGTTGCCCTTTTCTGAACCTTTTCCAATGCCAATTCCTTCTGTTTCCTTCTGGAGGCAGGAGAAGCCGAGGCAGGAGGAAAGTCTGAGATGGGATTTTCAAAGGAGCAGAGAGGCGCTCCGCTCCCATTCCCTCCCGCAGGGGGACACGTCTCTCCTCTCGGGCTACGTCTGCGCTGCACGCTTATCCCGAAAGAACAGACTGCCCGTCTACACGGCAAGCCCCTTACTTTGAAATCATTCCGAAATATCGGGCTTCTGTGTGGCCCTCGACTGAGAAGGAGCAAGGGAAGCCACAGGCAGAGGGCTCTTTCTTCGACCTCAGCTACGCAATTGACGTAGCTGACGCTGCGCAGACAAACCCTGGGTGAGCCGGTGCAGTCCCGCTCCGTTCCACTAGGACAGCAGCTCTCTGTGCCGACCCTTTCGGAAGGGGCGCTGGCGCCGGCAGTCCCTGTGACTCAGTCTCACAAAGCTATGGAGCCCAAACGTAGCTCCCTGCAGAGTTTGCATCTGCAAACATGATCCGTGGCTATGAAGTGGATAGGCACGAATTTGCCTGGCTCTAGCTACAAAATGGGTATCCGCATCCGCAGCCACCAAAGCACGCGGCAGATCCAGGGATCTGCAGGGCTCTCCCCGTGCGCACAGTGACAAAAAGAGCCCCGTCCGATTTCTAAAGGACCATAGGACACACCATAGGACTCTGCTGCTGCACTGGCTTTGGCTTTGGTGGAGCTCTGGCCCCAGAGACGTTAAAGAAGTGCCACCTCTTTACACAGCAGACTGGGTATTTGGATGGGCCGAGCGCCCGGCAGCACACCGGCCTTCGCAGAGCTCCTCCCGTCATTCCCCAGGTAGCGGGAACCCTGTGAGATGTAGCCGTGCCCCGGCCTCTTTTCTATTTGAAGACTTGGCCTCAGTCCCAAGTGGGAATGTGCTTAGTGGATCTAAAGGGAGTGGCAAACCCCCAGTGCTGGGTACTCCGGCCAGGCTGGGGTGCCCGGGACCTAGGCCTGAGGCAGGTCAGGACGGAGATGCATTCCTTAGCGGAGCTGTGTGGGGAGTCTAGGACTGGACTAGCAGGGGGACTGCAGGTGGGGCGTGAGGGTGGTTGGCGGAGCTGCCGGAGGGGAGCAAGAGCGTGTGCCTGGATGACGGGGCACGGAGCGGGAACGGTGGGGGAGCTGCAGCACAGAAGCGAGGTGCCCTGGCAGTCGTGCATACGAGAAGGGAGCGTGCGTAGTTCCTCCCCTCCGGGACACGTGACCCTTCGGTGTCTATGGCCCCGCCTCTCTCCCGAGCACTAACACTCGCCCACGTTCAAGCCCGTCGCTGGGGTCTCTCGTGCATTGTACGTCCCCGTGGGCCTTGCCCGAGAACTCTGCCATGTGCCCTTTCTTCTCTTGCAGGTTGGATGCCCTGCAGCGCCTGAGGAGAGTGCACCCTTTCCCGCGTGCAGTATCCAAACGTGTGCTCTCTTTCTTTGCAACATATCACGGAGGAGGCGGGAGCGAAGGAGGGAAAGGCTGGTGGAAAAGAGCCATTGCGGCTTTTTCTTCTTTTTCTTTTCTAATGTTTGAAGCCGTTTGATTTGTTTCTTAACGAGAAGGAAAAAGACCCGATGGTGCTGGAGAAAAGACAAGCGGGCGCAGTTATTTGCTGAATAAGACTCTTAACCGACGTGGCGGGAGGAGACCGTGAATTCCTCGCCGGGAGAGAGGTGGGATTCGAGGAGGAAAAACCGCCTGCCCCAGGACTGAGAGCGGGGACCACGCCTTCACGAGGATGAACCCTGCCCTTGCAAAGCTCTCATGTGCTGCTACAAGTGTCGAAGGAGGAACTAGGAAAGAGGATCCAAACGGAGATAAACCAAAGCCAGTGGGATTGGAATATAACAAGACTAAAAGGAAAGAGAAATTGATTTTTTTTCCATATCTCTCGGGAAAAAAAAGAAATCAAAGGCTAAGCAGATGTTGGACTTACAGAAGAGATATAGAAATAGGTTTATATATATATAGACATATATATATATACACACACACCGCGGAGCGGAGCCGAACGGCGTGCTCTTCTCCTTGCGTGTCACTGGCACAGGGATATTGGGTTTACTTCTTTCAAAGTCATATCATTCCTTAGAGTTTAGGGACCAAAGGACTACTGCTTTTTTAAATATATATATATATATATAAATAAATTAATTTAAAAAAAAAACAAAGAAAAAGGTAGAAGTATCGCATAAAAGCTGCAGGCGTTTCCAAGAGACAGAGGGAAACGCGCAAGAGCTTTGTTTGCTGTGTAGCATGGTCCAGTGGCCCGGTGGCTGCAGAGGCTTTTCCAAGGCTGTGGCACGTGGGATTGTGGCCTTTTGGTGGCAGCAGCGTCTTCTCTCTCCCCTCTCCTACCCCTGCAGAACCACGTAGAAATGCCGACCTTGGGTAGTTAGTGGAGCTGGTGGAGAGATCCACTTTTACATCCCCCAATGGTTCCGCTTGAAATTGTTCCCCAAATTGGGGTTTGCCAGAGGAAAAATTTGACACCAAGCAAAACTGTTGGTTTCGAAGGACGTTTCCCGTTTTGTTTCTAGTCCTTGAGAAACTGCAGGTTCCGCCCAAATTGGCCTGTTTCTCCCAAACTTTCCAGTTCTGCTCAACTTGCTCTGTGACAAAAAATGATTTTGGTCGACAGACGTCTCCCCGCTCTGTAGCTGAGAAAATGGCGGGAAATGTGCTGCTACCTCTGCTGGCTCCTGAGGGCTCTCCAATCTCTGCCGCCTCCCCTTTGCACTGGGTGCAAGAGGAGAACCAGAGCCCGATCGCGGCGTGTGCAAATCCAGCTCTCAGTTACACCAGTGCATCCCTTGTGAGCTCACTACCCGGGCCTAGCCAATCGGCAGTTGGTTCCTAGGCCACAGATATGGTAACAGATCTGGCACCCGACACCTGATGCTGCAGCATACGACTGTCTCCGCCTGTGCCAAATCTGATGCGCAGCGCCTGTCCCCACCGTGTGCCTACTGGTGCCATGGCAAAAGCAAGATTTTCTTCCCCACACTCCCCACAGCACCTCTCCCAACGTCCTAGCAGACGGGCAGATTTGCTCAGGGTCAGATATTTGCATCCCGGGATGAATCTTCCCCTCCAGCCGATCTCACTGACAATTGCACGTGGCCAGAGGTAACACGCAAGCGCAGACAGGCAGTGCGGGAGGCCAACCATTATTAAACAGCGTGGGCCAGACAGGGGGGCCCTCCATGGCCGGGTCGCTCCTGGGGATCTGAAAGGAGCAGGCCTGTGGCGCTTTGGTTTTCATCTCCCCCTCCCCCCCCCCCGGGGCC